GTGTTCACTCAAAGCCAGCATGTGACAGCTTATACTGGCTTTATTTGTAACTGCCAAAACCTGGAGAAACCCAACTTACTTCAACTGGTGAGTGGATGAAGAAATTGTGTATTAACATTATGAAATACTTGTAAGCAATAAAATGGAATTAACCTATGAAATGTAACAAACCCTTGCATACACAGACACATGATTTTGCATATACAGACACATGATTTTTGACAAGGGTGCAAAGCTGACACACCAGGGAAAGGAAAGTATCTCTAACAGATGGTGCTGGGAAAACCAGATAAACACAGTAAGGAATAAAGCTGGCTCCTTCCCTTTAAAAAAAAAAAAAAAGACTTATTTATGTATGCATACAGAACTGGGGTACAGGCCAGAGGTGCAGGGTGAGAGGCCTCACCAGAGACAGAGTGGGGAGCAGGACAAGCAAATGAATGAAGTACACTGCTGAGGAGAGCAATGGGAGGGTCAGGGGAGGTCTGCCGCGCCCTGTGGGTCACCTACCTGCCTGGGGATCGAACTTGTACCGAAGCTGCTGCAGCTGGCTTCATAGTGCTGCGCTTTAACCTGTTGCACCGTTTGGGAAGGCCTGGCCCCTTCACTTATGCTACATGCAAAAATTAATTCAAAATGGACAAAGACCTATGAAGGTCCTTGAAAAACATTTGGGGAAAGTGTCAGGAGATTGGATTTGTCAATGAGTTCTTGGATCTGAACCAAGATGCACAGACAACAAAGGGCTGGTCCAACTCTGAAACTTCTGTGTGTCAAAGGAAACAATCAGCAGAGTGATGAGGCAATCTATGGAACGGAGGAAAATAATTCATCGAGCTTATCCAGAACACATAAGGAACTTGTACTGAAGAACACCACCAAGAAGCAAAAACAAACAAAAAAACCCAATTAGAAAAATGGCCAAAGAACTTGAACAGATATTTCTCCGAAGAACATAAACAAATGGCCAATAAGCAGAGAAAAAGATGCTCAGTATCACTCATCACTAGGAAAATGCTAATTGAAATCTTATACCCACCAGGATGGCCACGATCAAAAAACAGACAATATCAAGTGAACATGTTCAGAAGTTGGATCCCTTGTGCACTGTTGATGGGAATGTGAAATGGTGTAGCCATTATGGAAAACAACCTAGAGCTCCTAAACAGCCTAAAACAGAATTATACATGATGTGATCCAGCAATACCACTTCTCGTGTATACCCCCAAATTTCAAAGTAGGGTCTGTGAAGAGCTATTTGAACATTCATGTTCTGGCAGCATCACTTACAAGAACAAAAAAGGTGGAAGCAAACTGGGACTATCAGCAGATGGTAGCTCTTCATCAGAATGGATAGAGAAAATAGGAAAATAATATTCCACACAATGGAATATTAGGCAGCCACAAAGAGGAAGGAAATCCTGTCATGTGAACCTTGAGGACACTAAGTGACATAACCAGCCACTGAAGGACAAATAAGTACTTTGTGACTCCACTCATAAAATATCTCAATAGGTAACAGAAGCAGAAATAGCAGGGTGGCTACGAAGGACGAGGGAGAGGGAAGAATTACTATTTAGTGAGTACAGTGTGGCACTGTTATGAGATGAAAGAGTCCTATGGCTCTGTCCTGTAACATCTCAAAAACAATGATACTCAACTATACTTAAAAATGATGAATATAGTTGTTTGCCACAGCAATAATAACTGTAAAAGGAACTGACTTGGTACAACCTGAATGAATCTCAAAGACAGTGAGTTAAGTGAAAAGTCCGGCTCAAAATACTGCCTATCATAGGGTTATAGATCCAGGTCAGAACGAGTTCAGAAAATAGATCACTGCTTGGGGGCAGGGGTGGTGGGAGGAGTTGATTATAAAGGGCAGGAGGATATTTTCAAGGGTAATAAATTTGACTGTGATTGTGACTCCACTATTGTATGTCTTGTTAAAACTCTTGTAACTGTGCACCCAAACCTTTATTTACATGTTTACATAAGAAAAACCTGTACAGGGGCCTCCGGGGTGCCTAAGGAGCTAAGTTAGTGCTATCACCACTACGTCTGATTTGGATCCCAGCCAGGGAGCTGAGTCAGAAGGAGCAGCAGACCTCTCCTGTCTTGTCCACTGCTCCCCTCGGCAGTGTACTTCGGTCAGTCTACCTGAGTACTATCCTCTCTGTTTCTGGTGAGTCCTCTCACCTCTCCTCTCCCCCACACCTCTTGGCTACAGCCTGGTTCTTCTATGGAAAAATAAATATAAGTCATTAAAAAGAAGGAAGAAAAACTTGGACATCAAGAACTGTGCGGGCTCTCCCTGGTGGCACAACAGTCTCCCTGGTGGCACAACAGGTAAAGTGCAGCACTATAAAGCTCTGCAGCCACCGCAGCACAAGTTTGATTCTGGCCAGGGAGCTGACCCACGCAGCACAGCAGACCTCTCCTGGCCTGCCTGCTGCACAACTCAGCAGTGTATTTCAGCAGATCTGCCTGTTCTGCTCCCCACTCTGTCTCTGGTGAAATCTCTCACCGCCCACACTCTGGCCTGTCCTCTAGTTCTTGTATGAATGAATGAATGAATAAATCTTTTAAAAAAAGAAAAAGAAAACTCTGCAACTGTGCACCAAAAAACATATGCTGTATATAAATTATCCTTCAATGAACCTAACAAGACATGGAGAATAAATGCAGCAAATGTCAACATCTGCATAGTGATGTCCCTTTTCATCCTTTTTACTGTAATTAGAATGTTTTATCTGATATTAGCACAAACCAAATGACTCCTAAAAAGCCAACCTGTTTATTCAAACTGCAGAATGGTACAGTAACAGGATGCAAATTTTAAGTTGTACAGTAAACCAGGGATTCTCATTTCATTACTATCAATGTATGTCTGTGATCATATTTATTACTTCATTTTCAAAGAAGGTCAACCTGTCAATTTGAGACCTTTCAAGAATGTGAGGTCTGCTCAGAGAGCCCTTCTGCCTCCATAACGTTTCAGGAAACATTTAAAGAACTAGAACAGTACCTGGTGGCTGAGTAGGCAGGTGGGGAGAAGGAGAGCCATTGGGGATTATTTTCTTCTGGGTGTGGATTCAGAACTGCATTCCTGGATTTCTCTCACTACTCAGAACTGCGATCAGCCCTTACCCAGCCTGGATCTCACTGTAGCTCTCAGTAATTCCTTTATAGAGCTTGATGATTCTGCCTCCCTATTTGTAAAATAAAGGGTTCAAGTGAGTAAAGATGGATATACTAAGCCGTATGGGAAAATTGATACCTAATTTTAGACTGATTAGCAGTCATGACTCTAGTAATAGAAACAATAACCAATTCACAGGCTAAGACAGAGTGGTTAACACTACCTTGGAAAGTTACCCTCAGTTGTTTTTTATCCCCTCCAGCTAGCTACTTCTGTCTTCATTTTTTTCAGACTCCTTATTATGCGGCAGCCTCCAAGTATAAAATTCCAAAAGGCTGGATTGTATTGATTCCTCCCAACATTGGCGCAGACTACAAGGAATTGAGAATGCCATTAATTCTAGAGAAACAGATGGACATTTTTAATCCCAAACATTCATGTACAACCCAAATGCTGCAGTTTGGAACAAAGTATGGAAATATATCTCAGCCCACTTTGTGTCCTTCCATTCTAATGAAGTAACCTGCCAAGGCCAGGGAAAAAAGAATCCTCCTGGTTGAAAGAAAAAAAAGAAAAAAAAGCCTGGGAGAATTGAGTCATCCCTAAAGTTGTAGTGTTTCCAAGGTTTGAGAAATTGACCTGAATCAATGGAGCCCTTCTTTTGACACTGTAAGATGTCATACAGTAAGTTTTTGGGCTACCTACTACAAGACTGAACAAAAAGGGGTGATGGGATCATTTCCCAAACCATATTACAGGGTTCTAAACCCGGGGTGTTACACTTGAAAAGGACTTCCGGGATCACACTAGCTATAAAACAAAACATGTTAGAGCCTAAGCCACTAATTTAATCCAACAAACAACTGAAATTTCCAAACAAAATCTAACAAAGTGATTCACATTAAAGAATAGAAAAGGAAGTAAAGACCTGGAAATACAAAGGTCAAAAAAACAACAATGCTATTACTGGATTTAGAAGTTAGGAGGTGAATATTTGGAAAATACAGCGGTGTTTTTTATTCGTTTTTTAACAAATGGAAAGCTTCGCATCATTTCTTGAAAGTGGCACAGACCTTCAGCCAGCCCTTAGAGCAAGCCTTCGCAGGACAAATGTAGATATGGGTACTATGGAGTTGATCAAATGCCTTTTATTGGAAGGCCGCGGTGTCACTGACGATTTGACTCTGCTACGCACATGGAGTAAACGGGGTGTCTGCGAGCTGGCTCTCTGCAGTGGGGTGCCAGATGCATGCCAGATGTGTTTCGCACTCTTGAGGAACAGAGGGGGCGGCAGAGACCCGCAGCCGGCTCCGAGGGCGTCCCGGGCCAGCACACTGGGGCGTTCCCGCAGGTTTTACCCGAGTTTTCCTTTTCTGGAGTTACACGCCACTCTACCTGAATGCGTCAATATTTCCTGTCTTTAAAGTGACGGAAAGCGCAGCCGCCCCCGTGGCGGCCCAGCGCGCGGAGGCCGCCCCCCAGCGCCTCCGGCCGCCTCAGCCCGGGAGGCCGGGCGCTCCGGGCCCTCCAGCCGCCCAGCCGAGCCCAGGCGGGCTGCCGAGCGGGCGAGTCCGGGAGTGGTCGGCACACCGACCCTCAAGCCCGCCCTGGACCCCGCGAGTCAAAATCCCCTCAGGTGGCGCCCCGAAGCCGCCAGAGCCTCAGCCCGCGGGAAATCCCCGGCGGGCTCCGCAGGCCCCTCCCACTCGGCGCTTGCCCCGCCCCGCGGCCTCGCCCCGCCCCTCGCGCCCTCGGCGGATCTTCCCGCCAGGCCCCGCCTTCCGCCCCGGCGCTCTCGCGCAGCCTCGCGGCCTCTTCCCGTCATGCCCCGCGCCCGGCCGCCTCGGTTGCTAGGCAACGCGGAGTCCGGCTGGACCATGGGGCCGCGAGGCGTCCCGCCACTGCTGATGGTGTTGCTGGACTGCTGGGCGTCCGTGAGCGCCCAGGCCGGGGCCGCTGCAGCAGCGGCGACGGAGGGCCTGAGCCCGACGGAGGCAGTGCCGACGACTCCCCGACGCTCCTCAGCGTCCAGGCCCCCGGGAGCCCCCGACACTCACGCGGCCTCCTCGGGTCCCAGGCCCACCCCGGTCACAGACGGTGGGTACCACGCGCCAACTTCTGGGGACCCACAGTAGCCCAGCCTAGAGGGTGGGTCGGCGAGGATGTGACAATACTGACAGTGGCCGTTGGCTGACCCCCGAGGCCTGGGTGGCAGCGGCGTTCACTGGCTCGGCGACTCCCGCGGTGGGCGAGAGGTGGGCGTCACCCCTGGGCACGGGCGGGAAGTCGAGGCCTCGGGAGGCTCAGTCTTTGAAAGTACGTGCAGTTGGCCCAGACAGCGTTCGTGCTAAAGATAATGGGTGAGTCCTTGCAGCTTTGCATCCGAAGACGAAATTAGGACAAGACTTTGTACGATTATGGAAATTAAATGCATAGGGTGCATGGAACTCTTCAAAAGCCAAAAGGCTAGCTCACTCAATGCGGCTGGGTCAAGCCTTCGTTGACTGAAATCAGGAAAACCCAGGAGTCGTCCTGTGCAGAGTGTGAGATGGGAAGTTGTGGGGTGGTTATTATGCCCACGTCTTAGGACTTATCATTAGAGATAATCAACATATTTCCCAGAAAGCGCTTTTACTGGTGGAGTTACACATTTAGTGAATCTTTTGTAACCTGATTTTTACTTAGATGGCTTCAGGGATGTCTGTCACTGAGACTGAAGGCACAATTTTGTGTTTATTCGTTTTTCCAGCGTGAGTGTTCTTAGAAGCAAATCGTTTCTCAAGAGCTTGTGATCTTCAAAAAAAATTTATCCTTTGACTGTATCCCCAGTAGGCACGCAGTATTTTTCATCACTTAAGAGAGAAAGATCTTAAGTTGAGTGAAGCTCAGACTTAATAAATAGAAAACTCATCACGAACTGACAACCTTAACTCAAGGACTTAACTTCAGTTACTGACCCATTACTTCTTCGAAGGGCCTGCTTTCTAAATTACGAGTCATTTGTAGGAAAACATACACAAAAAATATATTTGTTGTTTCAATATATATAATCAAAAAGTGTTTATATTGCAACTGTTGACTTGATGAATAAGTAGGGGAGTAAAATCAGTGATTAATTGAAATATACATCAAAGTACTTAATGCTGCAAATTCCCTAAGATTTTTGGATCTGATTGTTTCTAATCTATGTAAGTATTCATCTGTTAATGCACTTTCTCCCCCAAATGAAGCTGTTCTTGAAACATCATCTTTACGGCATGTGGTCAGGACTGTTTTTCCAATATGGAGAATGCATTTGCACTTATCTACATCTTTCAAAAGGTCCATTCTTTAGACCTGTGAGAATAATGGTAAGAAACAGCAGCTGGCATTTACTGACTGCTTACTGTGTGACAGCACTGTGATGTATCTCACCTGTGTGTTTCATCAGTAATGTATCTCCTTTAATTCCCATGACAACCCTCTGAAGGGGCTATTCCCATTTTCAGGTAGCTGAGTTAATGGTCTGATTTTAGGTCACCCCTGGTATCTGCTGGAGCAGCAGGCTGCCTAAGCAGGAAACACTGCTCAGCCATTTGCAGAATGGGTTCTAGCTGGAAGAGAAGAGTTATATCTTTCATCTTGAATCTGAAATGTGTTCATGATTACGCTGGCCACAAGCCAGGCATGTACACGTGAAGAGACCAGGAAGAGCAGCTGAGTGCCGCCCTCCGAGTTCTCAGCCAAAACTTGCTGGTTGATTAAGTGCACTCATCCCAGAGTGATGCCGTTTCATTCAAGTGGAATTATTAAATACTATTATTGTTTTGTGCTTAGTAGCCTTATTGTTACCTACAAAAATTTTAAAGTTTTGAAAAACAGACCAGCATCGTAGTTTTAAATACACGTCAGAGAGTCTATACACTGCTTTTTACGTTGGTAGGCTCTGAGTTTTGTTATCATTTTAGTGAACACATATTCTTGGCTTGGGAGAAGTGTTCGAACTTACAGGGGTAAACGTTTGTAGCCCAGGGTAAGAAAGGATTGAGTATTTATTCACAAAATCATCCCCTTTACCATGTAATTTTCTAGAGTGTTACTGTGCTTTTTTTGAGCTTCAGTTTAGTGAAGCTCAGCTTATTGTGAAGTAATTTAGACATATAAATAAGAATGATGTATGGACTCTACCAGCATTAGCTTGAGATTTTTAAAATCAAAATTGTGTATTAGGCAAGCATTTTGTGGTGCTGGAGGGTGTGGGACCCTCACAGCTCCCCTCTGCATGTGGGCTGGCGTGGTGATCCCCTGGGCGTCAGGGTTTCTCCTGATGACATTATAGGTGGATATGAAGATACCCCCAGAATTTGTACATGGAATCTTCTACAACCCAGTAAGAGCTGAGGACTCTCAGAGTCCCAGGGTGGCCTCTAGCTTGCTCATCTGAGCCAACTTTAGCAGGATAACACCACGAGGAACAGGCTGCGGAGGTTGTACCCCTAGAAACTCAACATCTGGGCCACGGTGGTGCCCATGATGCCTGTGTAATATCCAGCTCAACGAGGTTGCATCTTGTCAAATAGTACATGGTGGACTCAACTTCAGAATTGTTGGTTACTTCCTAGGAGGGGCCCATGCTTGAGAACCCTGCTTCTTGGTACCTCCAGTGGGCCCTTCCCGCAGACAGAACGCAGAGGAAGAGTTTGGGTCTGTGCAGTATTAAAACAGCGGTCTTAAGGCCTGACAGATGACTTAGTGTGCTTGCACTTAAGCCTGTCTTACTTACTGGAGAGACCTCACAAACACTGTCTAGTTCATAGCCAGCTCACCCACCAGTCCTTGTAGGTAGGCACAAATGCTCTCCAACTGGCCCATGCTTAGCTGCTGTAAAGGAACCTGGAATTGAGGAGTGCCGGAACCACCTAGTGTCAGCACTAGGTGTACAGAATTCTGCATGTACAGATGCGTTTCATGCATTTCCCCAGGGTGCAGTAGAAAAATGAAAGGAACTTTTGCATGGGATGGGCTTGCGGCTGACTGTATCCCCGCTTGTTTCCGTAGTGGCTGCTCTGTGTGTCTGTGACTTGTCTCCAGCACAGTGTGATGTCAGCTGCTGTTGTGATCCCGACTGCAGCGCCAGCGATTTTAGCCTCTTTTCTGCCTGCTCAGTTCCAGTTGTCACGTAAGTTTATGACAAACATGGTTTTGATGAAGAGGATAAAGAAATCTGTGCTCAGAGGTGGCGTTACATTTCACTTTGATCTGCAAACAGGTGTTGTGTCCTTTTTTTGTGTTAGTCTGATGGAGCGTGAGGGTGAAAGTGCAGTTTACTTTTACAGCTTTGTGGGGCATGTAGGACTTATAGTAAAAAGTAAAATAGGGAGGCTTTGTTTATGCTTGTCTGGTATGTAAATTAACCAGGAATCCCCACAGTTCACGCTGTGCAGAATACTAGAAAAGGGTATTGTCAGTGGATCACAAGGTGAAGGAATAATGTCTTCTGAAGGATCTGTTTCTAGTAATTGAGATTTCAAAGCTTTTGAAAAAAAAAATAGAAGCACATATTCGAAGATAGCTGATTTAAATTCAGTTGAGGCACTTGATGATAATAGCTTGAATGATCTTTGGAAGGACAAATGTAGTTTTCCCATGAGAATCTATTTTCCTGGGCACTGGGAAGTTGGAATCTCCTTCTTATGCAAAAATGCTCACAGAATGATATCATAGTCTATTTCCTGGCTACCTGGGCTACTTTGTAGCTCAGCCATTTTTGAAAATCACTCTGCCCTAGTAAGTAAGGAGCCTGTGAACGAGTGCCTATCATTGAACTCATTGTTTAGAAAGTTATTTTTTTGAATTAACCAATCCTGTAATTTTATTTTTTCCCCAGCACCATACCTTTCATATCCTCTTGATCCCTTCTCTTAGCCCCAGAATTTTACTTTGGTCATTATTACTTGCTAGCTTTTTTTTTTTTAAAGATTTATTTATTTGTGCAAACAGAACTGGGGTACAGGCCAGAGACTCAGGGACAGTGAGACTTCACCAGAGACAGAGTGGGGAGCAGAACAGACAGATCGATGAAGTCCACTGCTGAGGGGAGCAGCGGGCAGGTCAGGAGGGGTCTGCCGCGCCCTGTGGTCACCTCCGGGGCAGGCGGGGCTCGAACTCATGCGGAAGCGGCTTTAGCTTCTCAGTGCTGCGCTTTAACCTCTGTGCTACCAGGGAGGGCCATTACTCACTAGCTTTTGTAAGTGTTTTTGTTCAGTTGTGTGCTATGTAACATTCCAGTGTCTTTGTCATCCTGACTTGCTTTATCGCACACAGCTCCCTCAAACTCCTTCCATGTAGCTGTCAGTGGCAGCATTTTGTCTTCCTTGTGGCTACATCGAATCCGCAGTGTGCACACTATCAGTGGCTATTTCCATGTTTCTAGCTATATAAAGAATGTTGCAGTAAACATTGTACAACATACGGTTTTTTCAATTGATGGTTTCGTGTTCCTTGGAGAGATGCCCATCAGTGGGCTTGCTGAGTCCTACACTACTTCCACTTTTAGTTTGTTTTTTTTTTTAAGATAAATCCAGGTGGCTTTCCCAATGACTGTACCAGTTTATATTCCCAGCAACAGTGTAATTAGGATTCCTTTTTCTTTGCATCCTCTCCAGTGCTTATTGGGATTCTTTTTAATATGTACCATTCTCAGGGGTGTGAGATGCTCTCTCATTGTGGTTTTGCATTGCTGATTAAAAGCAACGATAAACATTTTTCCATGTATCTTTCCATCTTCTGGGTAGTCTCTTTGGTGGGTTGCCTATTCAGATCTGCTGCCCATTTGTTAATTGAGTTTTTTTTTTTTAATTGTTAAATGGAACATGCTTTTTGTATCTCTGGAAATTCTTTTTACACATGGACTATTTAGAATGAAGGTCAGTGAGAATTTTCTATAAAAGGTTACACGGTTAAATATTTTAAGCTTCATAGGCTATCTGATCCTGTTGCAATTTTCCAGCTCTACCATTATTGAACAGAAGCAGTACTATACCCAGTAGTAGGTGAATAGGTGTGACTATGTTTCAATAAAACCTTATTTACAGAAATAGGTGTGGTTTGCATATTCCTGGTTTAGAAGTTAGAGCTAAATGTTCAGTGACTTCAGAAGAGGACCCCAAAGTTTTTTTGAGTTAGTTTTGCTTGTGAATTTCTCCTAAATATAAGATATAAAAATAATTAAATGGAAACTAATGATTTTAGTGAGTTGTGTAGGTTTCAATTCATAGAAAGTTTGTTAAAATTTCCAAAATAGGTTGTAACATTACAGTAATGAAAATGATGTGTATTGATTCAAGACAGGTAGGTCGTGGAAGAGAATAGAAAGTCCAAAAATCAGAATGTGGGCCCTCCCAGGTGGTGCAGCGGTTTAAAGTCAGCACTAGGAAGCTGTCCACAGCCACTGCAGCACCAGCAGAACCCCAAGCAGGGAGAGACCCACAGGGCGCAGCAGACCTCTCCTGTCCTGCCCACAGCTCCCCTCAGCAGTGGATTTCAGTAGATCTGCCTGTTCTGCTCCCCGCTCTCCACTGTGGTGAGTCCTCTCACCCCCCTCACCTCTGACCTACACCCCAGGTCTGTGTGCATAAATAAATAAGTCTTTAAAAACCCAACAAAACAAAAATCAGTATATACTGATTTTTACATACAACTGATTTTTTTTAAGTATTATGGAATTTTTTCTATTACATGTTCAATAGCTCACAAATATGGTATTTCATGTCTGTGGAGAAAAGTGTGGGTCATTCAGTAAACAATGTAGAATATTTTAAATAATAAAAAGCTAACAAACATTTAGATTCCATTTCATAGTATTACACCAAAGTAAATTACACATAAATTGAAGAGTGAAGTGTTAAAAAAAAAAAAAAAAGAATGAAAAAGTGTAGACAAACTTTTGCAACCTCAGGTGAGGGTTAGGCATTAACCCTCAAGCTAATTAGAAAAGATTAGCAAAAAAAAAGAAAAAAAAGATTAGCAACTTCATTATTTAAAAAAAGTAAACTTTTATATAGCAAAACTCCATAAAATTGAAACAAGCTGGAAAATTAAAGTTGGAACAAAGAAAAAAATATTTGCAACAATGATACTCAAGGGAGACTTAAAAATACAGGTTCTCACATATCAAGAAGCACTACTAATAACAAATGGTCAGCAGACATGAGTAAGGAGCTTACTGAAGAGGAAATACCAGTTAGTCATAAACACATGGAAAATGTTTATAACTGTACTAGCAAGTGAGAAAATTCAGATCAAGGCAATGAAATAATAGATGTTTGCCCATGAAATTGGCAGAGCATTAGAATTGAATGATGATACCAGTCTTGGCCAGGGGATGGAGAAATCGAGTTAATCATAGTGTTGGTGAGGATGCCGCTTGCCTTCCAGAGGACAGCCTGGCAGGGTGTTCCAAAAGCTTTAAACCTCATACCTATCTTTTAATCCAGCGATTCCATCCAGAGGATGTGACCTAAGGAAATAACTGGAGATATTCCTGGAGATATGTATCATTACAGCATTGTGTTTGATTGAAGAAAATGAGAAACAACCCAAACCAACAGTAGATTGATTTTAAAAACTATTAAGTTGGGATACAGTGACGTGGAAAAATAGTGGAATATATATTAAGTGAGAGGGCTCTCAAGCAAATAGTTTGTAGAATTTGACCCTATTTTTGTTCTCTCTCTCCATATCATATCAGTACCTATAGCAAACTGATTAGGGTTTGTCAAATATGAGACTGAAGACTTACCCAGAAGTACTGCACCCTGCAAGTTCTAAACAACTTCCTATTTTCTCTTTTTCACAATCCTTTGAAGACAGCTTTAGTCTAAGACAAACAATTTTGGATCTACTCTGGGTAACTAGAAATATTCTGAAGTTCTGCAAAAATTTATATAGTTAATTCTGTCAGGATTTACAAGGTTCATTTACATCAAAATTGTACCCTGATCTGTATTCCTACTTGACAAGATTTCCTTAAAGGTTATTCTACTTGTCTTAATTTTTCCCTACTAGAGGAAATTGTTTCAAATGCCAAACATTTCGACACTGAATAAACTAAATAAAAATGATTCCGTTCTAACATCACACTTTCACAAATATCTTCCATGTCATTGTTAGCATAGCATGTTACAAGCATTTAAAATAATCTGGCTAAGATTGTTGCATCGCCTCAAAACTTTCTACTTTGTTGTTTTTTCAATTTTCAGGGGTGATAGTCAGTTTTGTAGTCAAAAAGCAGCCATCTATTCACTGAATTTTACAGCAAGCCCACCTGAAAGGATTTTTAAACTTGTTGAACAGATCAATCCATCTATTTTCTGCATTCACACTTCAAACTGTAAGTATTTGATGATAATAAATAAAGGTGAAATTGTGAAAAATATTTCTTTTAAAAGTTCCTTTATGGAAAAATGTTCCTTTCCGAGAGATGGAAAGTAATCATTCTCTGCTGTGGCTCAGTCGACTCTTACAGCATTTTCCAGGCAACTGCAAGTCACTCGGTCGGCTTCTGGGGGGTGCACATTTTCTTTCAAAGTAACTGTGCTTGTGTCGTGGTCTTTTGGCGTCTCACACTCTCTTTCAGAGGTAGTCATGAGTAGACGTGCCCAGGAACTTAGATTTATTTCGGCATGTGTGGGCTTTTTGTTTCCTCCTGGTGTATGTGGAGGAGTAGGTTAACTTTGGTTTCAATTTCCTTTTTTCTCTTTTATTTTTACTAAGATCATTTGCATGAAGACAGGACCTTTATTTTTATCTGAGCAAATGGCTTGAATAGGTGTCTTCATCCAGGGTACAACATATTACCAAGCTTTCAAAGATAGGACATGTATTTATGGCTGCAGTGCTCAATTTCATCATCTTTTCAGGATGTCTTTACATTTTGGGTTGGTCCCCTTGTGATTGAAATCTGAGGTGAAAGCTTTGTGATTTGTAGACTAAATCATGACCGCACGATCACTGTCGCTGTCTCTGCCAGGATGCCAGCCAGTGTTCATACCAGCTTGGCCCTCCTCCATCACGGCGTGCTGTTCTCCGGCTTTGGAGCGGTCATGGGAGGGAGCACAGGATCTGTCATCCCATAGCCATCTGGGGTTTGGGCTGCGAACCGGCAGCCATGGGCTGGAGAGAGTGGGGCTGACTTCTGTTGGGCTGTTTCCATGTGGGCTGTAGGAATCAGACTTGCTGGAGGCCAAGTCTGTTTAGTTAATATGAGCAAGTACTAACTGAACTTATATTACTGTTTTAAAATATGTATTATAGATTTTATACTGATTTAAAATACTTTTTCTAAAAACAGATAAATCTGCATTATCCTTTATTAATCCAGAAGTGCCTGATGAAAACAATTTTGATAAATTGATGAAAACATCAGATGGCTTTTCATCAAATGCAGAAGCAGGTGACTCTTTCACGGACAAACCAGACTCTCCAAATACTGCCAAGTATGAGGTGGGTCAGAACCTGATTAAATCCACTCACCCCATCTCCAGCTACTTGATCTTGTCAGTTTTATCGTGTTTTCAGCCAAACCAGCTTCCCTGAGACATAGAATTCATACTACTGACCAAAAAAGTGAACGTTCATGCCTATAACTCAGAGATCATAAACATTACAAGTAGGTAGCTGGATTCTAACGCGAGGCTTAAAAGTCATTTATTCTGTATTAGGTTTGCATTTGTTTCTGCCAAATTATTTGCCCTTTTACAGTTAAAAAGAAGCACAAAAGGTCCAACGCAAGCCGCGGGGAACACGAGTGGCCTGGATGGATGCCTGGTCTTTCCCCTCATAGTTGTGTTCGTTGTATTTAGCTTTGCAGACTTTGGGGGCATGTGTGGCATATCACATGTATTCATTAGTAAGCCTTAAAATGCGGTCCCCATCAGCTTAGAATAAGCTTCAGGTTTTTCACAAGCCTCTTTTGCAAAGGGGTGTGGCAGCACAGTACTGGTTTTAAAAGTTAGAACTTCAGTAGGCTCCATTAGTGACCATGGAGAGGCGAGCGTTCTTCGCAGGCTGGGATATCCTGATTGTTAGAAGCAGCTATGAAAATGCAGACTGCACAAAGGTACGATTTGTTGTTGTTGTTGTTCTTAGCCACCTGAGCTGTAAACTTGCTTTTTCTTCAGTGGTAAATCTTGGGCATCTTCCCAGTCAGTATAAAGGCAGCGTTCCTTGAGCACTTTCTATAGTCTCAGCATCGTGCGCCAGCCCTGGGCCACGTAGAGCCCCGCGGGGCCAGCGGGCAGGTGTCGGAGTCCCCACGGCTGTGATAGTCTCAGTGACGGTCCACGACAACTAGGCGTCCTTGTCAGGGCTTGCTCTTGGAAGTAATCCACAGTGAACATCCTCATAGGCCCACAGACTTCTGTCTGGTTAAGTCTTTAGGAGATGTTCCCAGAGATGAGTTACCTTGGGAATAGAAGTTTAAGACTTTGATGCCAAATTGGCGTCCGGAAAGATTGCAGGCGCCTACACTCCCAGCTCCAATGAAGGAGAGAACGTGTTCCCCACGCCCTGAAGGCGCTGGGCATATGGATACACTTTTAACTAATAATAACAATAAAAGCTGTATGCCCAATAGCTGTAAATTTTGTTTTGAATCATGGGGGAAATTTTCATGGGAAGTTTTTGGGGAAAGAAGGCATATCAGTGTTAGGGTTCTAGGCGTGCGCTAGCCATCATTTCAGTAATTGTAGTGGTGGAAAATACCCTCTCACCTCTACCCCAGGCAGTCTGCAGATGCAGGCCCGCCTGCCGGTTTCTCTTCTCCCGGTCCAGGGGAATTCTGTCACGAAGGAGGTGCAAGGACAGCAGCATGCGGGCACACCAGGAGAAGAGGGTGGGTGGCCCGATGGAGGCTGTGTGGGCAAAGACCACGTCTGTTTTGCGGAGCTCCCGACGGCAGCAATGCCGCCCGCCAGCGGTCATATCCAGCAGGTGCTTGCTAGCGGGCGCCTTCCCGAAGCCTTAACAGCGGCCGCTTGTTCTGCTTGCAGTACGGGGTGCGTCTGCAGACGTCACATTCATTTCTGAGATTTCCTTCTCCCCTCATGTCTTCGTTGTGCACTGATGATAACCCTGCAGGTAAGCGAGTGGGCATTTTTCCTTCTCTTGTAAATAGTTGGTTCCAGCTTTACATTTATAAAAGTGTCAGTGAACAGACTTCATCACTAGAAATGGTCTCAGAACAGCAAAGGGCCTCACTGGCTGTGTGGTTCAGTCTCACACCCAGCACTGGAATCTTCCTGCCACGCTGTGTGCCATGAACACTGGCAGTGATGGGGACTCACTGCCTGGCCAGCGCCTCCGTTGCCACACGCTTCCAGCCGGAGGGGTCTTTCCTCCCTGGAGCTACAGTTTGTCAGTGGCTAACATCTCCCCGTTTTTAATATGGCCAGTTTTTCTATTGTGAGATGGTATCTCATGGTTTTGATTTGCATCTTTCGGATGAGTGATGATGAACATTTTTTCCCGATGGCCTGTTAGCCGTCTGTCTTCTGAGGGAGAGTGCCCATGGAGATGTTCTGCCCCTTCTTTAGATTGGGTGACGTGTTTTCTTGTTGAGTTGGCGTTTGGATATTAGCCCCTGACTAGATGTATGATGTGCAGACATATTCTCCTACTCAGTGTGGTGTCCTTTCATTGCAGTGAGAATTTCTTCTGCTCTGAAGAAACTTTTTAGTTTGATGTGTTTATTTATTTGCTTCCCCTCCCCCCGCCTTGTCATTGTAGTTGAGTCCCCAGTGACATCTCTGAAACCAAAGTCATGCCAGTGACACGGGGGATTTGCCTGTGTTTTCTCTCATGTATTTTCTGTTTTCAGTCTTCCCTCTAAGTGGTCAGTCCATGGTGAATTAACTTTGTGCAGGGTGTGGGGCAGTGGTCTAGTTTCATCCTGCTGCATGTGGCTCTCCAGTTTCCCAGCACCATTTATTGAAGAGACTTTCCTTTTTCACTGTGCACTCCTTGGGTCCTTTGTTGTAGACGAGTGTCCACTGGATATGGACCTTTTGACCCAGCTCTTCTAATTCTAGTTGCTGTCCTATAGAAACTCTGGCCTACATACAGAATAGATCGCAGCATTGTGACAGCAGAGCAGGAGACCACTAAAGTGTCCATGCAGGGGGAGCTGGTTGAGTAAACGTTGGCATGTCTATAGTAGAATACTGAACATCCCTAAGAAAAGGAGGGAACGCTTCATGCCCTGAAGTCTCAAATATGGTATTCAGTGAAAAAAAAAAAAAACAAAAAAAAAACTGAAGGGCATTTGTTTGTAGAAAGGGAAAGAAATACTAAAAATATATATGCACAAGCCATTATTTGCATAAATATTTCCACAAAGATACAAAAAACTTCATGTCGATAGTCTCTGGGGAATGGAACCAGTGGTTGCTGGGGATGGGGGACAGGGGTTGAGGGAGACTTCATTCAGTACCTTGTACTTTGGGGTCTGAATTCTGTGACCACATCAACTACTGGAGAACAGTTTTTAAAACCTATTTTAAGTATGTTTTGTGTCCATTTCACAACTTGGTTTACAGTTTTGCCTAATTTACAGGTTTTTAGTTACCACTGAACAGTTGAACATTTTCTTCTCTCTGTTACTGTTTCTTGTGGGGAATGTTAACATTCCCAGCATTTCTAGTGAACCAGGCTGTTAAGTGCACCAGAAGGATGCGTTTGGAGCAGTGTGAAGAAATGGAAGCCCTGAGCATGGCTTATTACAGCAGTCCTAAAATTTTGAGGGTAAGAATATTTTGACATGGAAGCAGCCCAAATGCCCAAAAGTAGATGACTGGATAAAAAAGATGTGGTACATATATACAATGGAATATTACTCAGC